ACTTCAGCACCTCTTAAAAAACAAACGCCACCTAGGTAACTAATTTTAATTAAATATTTTGATTAGTTGACAAAAATAGAATTACTATATTATCATTTTAGCTTATTTAAGAAATAACCTTAAATATCTCAAACGAGTAGATCATATTGGATCTCACAGATACCACAAACTAACCATTTCCCCGTACCCCCACCCCCAAATGTCAAGGGTTGTATAATAACAGACCCCTCTCTCTCTCTCTCTTTCTATATATATATATATCATTTTAGAATAGAATAAATTACAGTTTCATCCTTATGGTTTGTTAAATATCACTTTAAAGTTACTTGATTTGGACGATACTTATAAACCATTTATACTTGTATGATTTTACTTGTCATTATAACCTTTTTAGGATATAGATCCGTCCACACCAGCGGACCTGTTCATATTTATTTTTATATTGCCCATGTCCGCCCATTAATTTTAACAAACAAACCTGGACCCGTCCATTTTCTCAATAATGGTTGTCCAAGTCCGTGTTTCTAATGGGTTGTTCCGCCCATGAACAACTATACCATATATACAACTTGTCTTGTCCGGTTCTAGACGTGTCAAGAACTAGGGATACCTCTGTCCATTTCGGTACTATCCTCTTGCTTATCCAGTCTAATCCTGTTCAGTCAAGTCCAGACTGCGTACCATACATTATATAAAGTCTGACGACCAAATTAGAAATGAAATCAAAATACGATGCTATATTTAAACATTCTTAAACTAGAGGGGCTTAAAATGAAATTACCCTAACCTCATGTGGTTAAGAAGGCACCATCCACCATAAAAAAGCTAAAAAGCTATATATTCGTTCCTCTATCTCTCTCTCAATCATCGGAATCTCAGGGTAATCAAGCTTTTTAAGCAAACACAGTGGGAGAATTAAGGGGAAGAGAGAGAAAGAGAGACTGTGTGATTCAATTGGGGTTTTGATTGTTTATGTTCGTGCCCCAATTAGGGATTGTTGTGATCGAATTGGGGTTTTGATAATTTATCTTCAATTAGGGCGTGTTAATTGTGTTGAAGAAGGAACGTTTAATTTACATTGAAGATGGATTCAGAGGATGATATGCACGACGCGAACGATGCTGAATCTCTTGATGATGACTTCTACAGTGGGGAGACTGCTATGGACTCCGATGATGGTGATGCAGCCGACTACGAGTTCATCGATAATGATTCCGATGATTCTAACGATCTGGTTTCTCATCGTAACCAGGTACAGTGGATTGCATTAAAAGAACAGTTCTCGATTTGATAAGTGATTACTCGTTTATTGATGAATTTTTTGGTATTGTGATCTATGGTTTCTGTTATTGGATGAAATGAGGATGTGTTTAGATATGTGATGCTCAATTTGTTCTTAAAATAGTGATATGATCCTGAGATCAGTGAATCATTAGGGTTTTTTTTGTTGGATTCAGTTTTTTAACGGAAATAATGGATATGGCCCACTCAACTATTGATCTAACCAACTACAAGTGCTAAACGAAACTGAAACTAAGGGGCTGTTTAACATGTGATTACCAGGTGAGCATGGCAAGGATTGAGAATCTTACATAGTGAGGGAAAAGACTCTTACCTTGTTACTGCTTACGGGTTAAGAAACGTTTCCCAATGAAATCCATTTTGGTGGCTGAGAATGTTACCTGATAAGGTAGCGAGGGTAGCGACTCTTGCCAGGAAGCAGTTCCCCTGCCGGAGCTCCCCGAACCTGAAGTAGAAGTCGAGGGGCTGCTCAGCCGTTGAATTGCCCTTGGTTGTCCTACCTTAGATGAGATTGGTAAACCGCTGTTAGGGTCAACGTTATACTTAACTCTAAGGATGATATAGGAAGACTACATCTTATGTGATACTACAGATTATATAAACGACCAAAAAGTTAATGAAAGCATGTCAATGGCCCCTAAAACTTTGAGGTTTTCTTTTTACAGTTTCATGTACTTAGTGGGGATAAATTAGGAACTTCCCCTTGATAGTTGCCTACATGATCATCTGGTTAGATTTTGCTACGTGTTAGTTGGTTAGGAGTTAGGACATGGGGGTATACACATGACAATAGTGAAGCTCCGAAACTCGTCACATAAGTTACGAATCATATGATAATTACTTCTGTTCCGTTTTTGCTAGCTATGTTCCAAAATTTATTTGTTTTCTAAGCAGGATAATTGACTTGCTGCACACTAATTTCTGTTTAGTTTTGTGAAGTGAAAACTAACTGAGAAGTAATTCCTTATAAATACTTTTTTTTATTGGAGAAAGGGTGGTGAAGGACCATAATAGGCATCTACGTTCTTGTTGGAGGTTAGGGGAAAACCGACCTAAGAAATAAATTAGGGTACTTCTGAACTTGATGTTGGAGAAGGGGGATTGGTCCAAAGAGATTGATTGAATTTTGAACATGTGCATTTCAATGATGTTGAAACATCGATTGCTCTGTGTATGCATGGAGGTTTGGTTGGACGCGTTTTTGGTATTGGAAGTGAAGTTGAAGTAGAAGTAGAATGGGAAATGTATTATGTTTGTTAGTTTTTCGTGGACACAATCTTGCCTTATTTCAAATCTATTTGAATGATATATTTGTGCTTATTGACAAAATATTTGTCTTAGAATGAGTATTAGTTAAGTGTTTCTGGCTTTTCTTTTTTCCAGCAAAACTACACCATTTTGAATGAAACTGATATTCAACTACGTCAAGAGGATGATATTACGAAGATAGCTTCTATACTTTCCATTTCAAATGTTGCGGCTGCCATATTACTCCGCCATTATAACTGGTAATGTATTATTTATGTATCTCCCCCCTGCATGTGCATATTTGGGACCCACTTTACATTTTTTCTTTGTTTCCCAAAACAGTGGTGTCTGAAAACCTAATGTTAACACAAATCTGATATACCTAAATTACCCTTATTTTGTAGAGAGTGGATAATGGCATTTGCCATTTGGTTATTTGTACTGGATCATGTCTAACCTTCTAGACTCTAAAGTTGACTACCCGTTTTTCTAGACGGATGGCATAACCGTTCTAGTTCTCCTTGGAAGTGTACCATCACAATGTAAACTATTTTGATCCAAACAGTGGCGGATCCAGGAATCTTGGTGACTGGGGTCGGACTTTAGTTAATTAAATATTTTTACCTTATTTTCATCTCATTGATTAAGGTTGACAAAAGTCCTCTTATCAAAATACTTTTACCTTATTTTCATCTCTTTGATTAAGGTGATACTCGGTTTTTTTTTCCTTTTGGATTGATTCTAATGAAAATCCTTCTAATTAAGTTCGTTAGGCATAAAAAAGGTAGAGCTAGGTTACGAAATACCACCACTATTGAGTTCCGATTTTGATATTTTCCATTTTTAAAATCTTTCCATTTATGGAGATAATAAAACTAGTTAACACATTAACTTCGTTGCATATACGAACCCTAACCTTATTAACAATTAAACTTATAAATAATATTAACACAAACACTATATATAATTTAACATCAAACCCTAGCTTTATAAACATATAAATACCTTAAATACAAACAATAAACATATAATTTGACACTAACTTAAAAACTTAAATAAACTTAATTATAAAACCCTAACTTTAATAATTAGGCATCAAACCTAAAATATTTTTTATTAGAAACAAGTATTTCATAAATATATATAAATAACAAATAAACGATTAAGCAAATAACAAATAATAAACAAACTTAAACCAAAAACAGAAAAAACACAAATAATGGTTACTTGGTTAGAAGCCTAATGGGCATAGGGGAATGGGGCATTAATTACTTAGGTTAGGCGCAGGAAATGGAAACTAAAGCCATAAAGAGAGAGAGAGAGAGAGAGTGAGTGAGTGAGTGAGTGAGAGAGCTCTGGTTAGATTTCCTTTTAGAAGAACACTTTTATAGGAACAATTGGATGATTGGGGTTGGTCGAATTTTCAATGGTATCCCATAGCTATAAGTGTTTGCTTATTTGGGTTAAAAAGAAAAAAATTAAGGTAAGATTTTTCTTTTCTAGATGTTGTCTGGGTCATCATATAGTGTAGATCCACCACTGGATCCAAATATATATTCCTTTCCTCTCCTGTAAGTCTGAAAATGACCTCAATTGGGGGGGGGGGGGTTGTGCTTCAATGATGTCGTACTGCTATAACCCAGAGAGTTGGTCCATGTTCATGGATATATCTTCCAAGAGAAGTTCTCTCCCGTTCTCTCTTTGGCCAAAATTTTCGCTTATGAGGTGAAAAGTGAGCGACTTTTTTTTTCTGTAATGGAAAGTGAGGTGGCAACTCAAGCTTCATAAATTGGACCTTCTCTTTTAAGCGTAATCCGTGAAATATTTTTGGAAGAACTGTGAAAATTATATACACATATGTTCTATTTTTTCTGACAAAAATAACTTAAATAAAGGGAGACCTAACCCAAAAAATAACTTTGGGTTATTGCACCTTCACCTTTTACTATTTATACCCAAGATTTTAAAGTACGAAAATGTGAGGCGAGGCGTATGCCCCGAGGCGGAAAATAGAGTGAAATAAAATATTTATTAATAAATATTTAATAATAGTATTAAAATCTCAAAATATATTAATAGATGTAGTTGATATTATAAAATTCTAGTTTTGTCACTTGTTAGAAATATATAATAATATATGCAAACAAAAAAAACCTATCTGGATGGTGGACAATGGACACAAATGTAATATATATTAACTGACAGAATACTGTCGATAGACGATGCTGTAAATAAATTATATTTCCTTACTCAAGTCTCCCTATAATAATATATATTTTATATCTCCTCTCCCACTTTGAATATATATATATATATATATGTATGTATATGTATATTCAATGTGGGAGACTTGAGAATCGAATAAGAGCTTGTTAAAGTTAACTAGAGGAGATGAGGTGTATGGAGAAATGCAGAAGAAGAACTTGCGAAGGGCTGGAGGAGATGAGCATGAGGGAGCAGAGAGAAACCTACATATTTTAAACCCAATATCCCTAATATCCGAGCATCGCCTCAGCCCCCCGCCTCAGCGCCTCAGTGGCTTGAGGCGTACGCTCCAACTAACCCAGAAGAGGCACTGCCTCAGGTTCGTTTTTTCCACTGCGTTGCTACTGATTTTTAGAACCATGTTTATTCCTATGGATAAGTTAATTTTTCTACAATTATGACTTCTGGGCCAATATCCGAGTCATTCTTGACCATTTCAAGCTGTTTATGCTATCTTTGGCAAACTAAACAATCAAGACTTATTCAGATGGAGAAACAAACATTTTTCATGAAAAAATATCTGAATGAACAAGTGGTTGGACCATTAGTAGCTCATTAAGAGGAAAAAACAGGGGCTAAGTCATACAAGGCACACCTTATGGTAGCAAGTTATTACACGTTGCCCATTGGTAGTAAGATGCCTGGAAACCCTCTATGTCAGTAAATCCTTAAAGGTGTTTAGACAATAAAATATCCTTGCATACCCAACACAATGGTGTAGAAGATAAACTTATAATATGCATACCTAATAATTACTTACAGACTTTCATATTTTTAAATAGCTATCAAAAGAGTTGTAACGTAACATTGGTTTTCTTAATTTTGCTATAAACATGAAAGCTGAAGACAGTCAAGTTGACTGAACATAGATAAAGAGGATACCAACTTAAAGTTGGTAACATAAATAAGATCATCAAGCACCAACGGTCAAATCCAATATATGACCATAAGAGTACCACATGATGTGTGAACATCCCATGTGAAACAAGGTGGGAGCTTGGATCGGATTCCATTCCTATGAAATTTCCTGATTCTTAATGCACATGGTGAATAGGCAGGCATAAAAAATAGTTTATTGGATCTCCCTCACAGACAACAGTTTCTTTATCCACATACTTGGCAAAATAGTGCAGATTGCACTTTTGATATGCGTGGGAGACAGTCGCATGCAGGATGGCTTGAAACTGTAATCTTGCAAAACCGTTCCTCCAGGACGATGTTAATTTACCAACTGATCTAAAAGTTTAAAATTATAGCAAGACTCATCCATAATACTAAGCTCCAGTATAATGCATCATTGGATTTTCAATTATAATAGACGTGTGCATGGAGATATGCACAGGCACCGCATTTTTTATTTGCTTTTTTTTCCTTCCAGCTCTTGTAAACCTTGTAGCAGAGAGTTATATAGTCATTGTTTATTGGCCTCAATCTTCTAGGTGGTAACAGGAATGCTGTCTCAATCTGCTGAATGAATTTCGATATTTTGAACCTACAGGAGTGTCAGCAAAGTGAATGATGAATGGTTTGCTGATGAAGAAAAGGTTCGCAGGGTTGTTGGATTGTTGGAGGAACCACGCCCGCTTCCCAATGCTAAAGAGGTAATTATCGATAATTTGAGGGCCATCAGTTATGTTCTCTTCCCATAAGATTATGGAGAGAGCTAGACTGTGTCGTTTAATGTCATCTTTTGGTCCATCTTCTTTTCATGACTTCTAATACCTCACTTGTTTTTGCCAGTTGACATGTGGGATTTGCTTTGAAGTATATCCTTGTGATAGTATGTGTTCTGCTGCTTGTGGTCATCCTTTTTGTGTAACTTGTTGGCAAGGTTTGTTCCGATGACCATATATTTACCATCTACTACATGTACACTAGCTTGCATACTTTAGGTGGAATTGGATATTATACAGTGGTATGCACTTCAGTTAGATATGGATAGCAGTACTGGTGACTTACTGATACAAAACAATAAACAGAAAGTGGCACTCTCCTAATATAAGCCATCCCTATCAAAATAAGCTCCCAATGTGAATATATATGCATTGTTAACAATTAAGCTCTTTTTCTCTGCTTTTATAATTGTCTTTGAATGTGGTTGCTTAGATAAGCCATACAGCATTCCTCAATGAAATTATTGTGTAACCAATGAATGCAGGATACATAAGCACCGCCATCAATGATGGCCCGGGATGCTTGACGCTGCGATGTCCTGATCCATCTTGTGGTGCAGCTGTTGGTAAAGACATGGTTGTTTCCTTGGCCTCACATGATGATAGAGAGAAATATCGACGTTACTTCCTTCGTTCTTTTGTGGAAGACAATAGAAAGGTAATTGTGTGGTAGAATCTTTGAACTAGGCTGTTGGTTAGGGTGTGGGAAAATAGTACAGATAGCTAGCATAATTTCATGCTTTTTTTTCATGGTCAATACATGGTTGTTTCGTTGTATGCTTTGGAGGAATTTTTTGATATTTAGGCAGAATATCATGTATATACCTCCAATGCTCTCAAACAAGGATGGAGGATTATAAGGATCTGTCCATGCAGCACCTCACTTCCCATGGTATTTTGTCATCTCACTAAGTCCCTTCTTAGAACTCACTAGCCAAGAATAGAAAATAGTAACCGAGTAAACCAAACCAAAGGAATCCAGTCAATCCCACACGGAGTAGGGTCTAGGGAGGGTAAGATGTACGCAAATCTTTCCTCTACGCCAAGGGGTAGAGAAGCTGTTTCTGTGAAGAACCCCAGCTTGTGAAAAATTTTGCGAATAACTTTTTGCGACCCTGGAAGTATATCTAGAAATTTCAAGAAATGAAGTTTTGAAGAGTTAATGAAGAGCGTGAGACAAACTTGGGAGAGGAAGAAAGGCTGGGAAAAGTAGAGCAAGTACACATAGTAAACAGCATGAAAAAAAGATTAAAACAAGTAAGGACATTAAAAGCATAAGGAGAAGTATGAAACAGCTAAACAGCCTAACAAGTAAGTGTGCCAAAAGACCCCTTCCTGGCTAAAGTCACACGAAAGCTACTCCTGACTACCTCCAAAGAGTCCCCGTACCTATCCTAGGACTTTAATACATAGCTGTTAAGGAGCCCCCCATCCCACCCTCTAGTCTTCCAATCCTCTACCATTAATAGGAAGAAAGTGTTGTTGTCAATACCTGCAGCTGTAGCAGTTATTGCATACCCATTTTTATCATCCTAAGCAATGCTGTCTTGAGAAGTGGGTTGATGGAGACTGAATGCATTTTGGAGCATGATAGAGAGATAAATATACCGATTGGCTAACAGGGATTGGCTCCATCATATTGGTAGATCATCTTTTACTGCTGTTAAGTATGTTACACAGAGCCAGCCTTGCAGACTCACTGAACCGAGTAACGATGGATATGCTGTAAGATATAATAGAAGGATCTATGGGGAGAAATCAATTATATACAGATTACAGAAGTAAAATTCTGTCACCTGAGAAATGGTTTTATCTTCCTACCATTGATTATGATCTAAGATATTGTTTATTTTCACCTCTTATTATTTTCTTAGAAGATAATGCAATTTGGTACCGTAATTTGATATCTGATCCTACTTTTTCTTGTTAAAGAAATAGATACTGCGATCATTTTTTAAATGGAGGCTATAAATAGTTATTAGTCTTCATGACTTCACCTTTGCTACCGGGTCTATAAACCTAGTCCTGTTATGATCTGCACCATTATCATATTTTTTATCATTCATTGACAAATACTCACTTATATCTTTTTATTAACCACCACCAATATCCTTCTTTTGATCTTTTTAGACAAAATGGTGTCCGGCTCCTGGTTGTGACTATGCTGTGGACTTCATTGTTGGTGGTGGAACCTTTGATGTTACCTGCCGCTGCTCATATAGCTTTTGCTGGAATGTATGTCAGATTTATTAATTACAATTGTATGCTCCTCATTAATATTGTCTGCACTGCATTTAACCAAATTAGATATTTGTTACTGTTGACAGTGTACCGAGGAAGCTCATCGTCCAGTTGATTGCGACACTGTGTCAAAGTGGATAATGAAGAACAGTGCAGAATCAGAGAACATGAATTGGTATTCAATTATAGAACTTGTTATACCCTATACTTGTTGCACCTGATATATGCATCGGTTTCCATGTGTCAGTTTGTCTTAGTGATTTTACTGGTAAACAAAAGATTACAGGAGAAGTAGGAAAATATAGGATATCAGATGTTAAAGTCAAATTACTTTTGCATGCATGGAAATGGTGGGCTGTGATCTGAACAAGAGAACATGTACAAAGGGATATTTTGTGTTAAGTATTTCTATATCTTCAATTGGGATCAATCATTTAAGTAGTAGCAGAATCTGACATGTAACATGCCCCGAGAAGAATGGGAAAGTGTTAAGCAACCCTCACATTAGACAATAGAAGTAGAGAAAACAACTTGTGTGTTTCCAATTGAGTCCTAGAAATCTTTTGCTTAACTTAATAGCTATGAGCCCATATTAGAGAACACATGACAATAGTACTTGATACAACAAGGCTGGGGCCACTCATCCCAGATTATTGGGTGGTTTTGTCATGCAAAAGGAAATATGTTAAAGTAGCAGTGACCTGAGTGTCCCAAGAACATGTCAAACTGAATCATGAGCACTTGTGCAAGAAGTCCATAAAAAAACATTTTTCATGCTCATCCACCAACTGCTTGAAATGCACATAGTACTCGGATTATGTGACACCCCATATTTGAAGATATGCATACATAAGAGATATACAATCACCAACTCAATCATTGTATTTGCTATGCCTACATTTTTTTTGATTTTGGTGCATTATACTTAAACTTGTTACAATTTGTAATTATCTGTAGCAATTTACAGAACATCATGTATGTTTTGATTTAATTTTCAGGATATTAGCTAATTCAAAACCATGTCCCAAGTGCAAGCGGCCAATCGAGAAGAACCAAGGATGTATGCATATCACATGTACACCACCTTGCAAATTTGAGTTTTGCTGGTAAGTTAATTGCATGCTTTTTACCTAAAGCATATTTTGTCCTGATGTCTTAGGTGTCAAGACATTATTTTACATGATAGAGGGGCCTAATCAAATGAGAACTCAGTAATTTGTGATAACCATGAGATCCGTTGTGAGTCACTCATTTAAGATAATTATGTTATTTATTAAATAAATAGAAAAGGGTATTTTAGTAATAAAAATGACAGCTCATAAATACGTTTAATTAATTTATTCTCTCCACAAATAGGAAATCCATAACTCTCCACAGTGTATTATCTTTGAATCTATGATGCTAGTCACACAGTGTATTTTCATGGTTTCCTTTGTACTACATTCTGTTTTTTCATTGTTTACAGTGTATCACATTGTGTATATTAGGGTATCACAGCGTGTATATAGTGACAGTGGACATTAGTAGGTATCAGTGGGTATATCGTATATAGAGAGAATGATCCTACTTAATGTATCACAACATGTATACAGCAGCTATCACAGTGGAATGTTCATGCCGGAGGGGAAAGGAGAGATGAGATTTCTAAAAATACCTAAGATGCCATTATTTAAAATTTTAAGTCAAACTTACCAAAATTATTAATTTCCTAATTTAAACTTTGATTTGTGGTTGAGATTGGATCTCACATGTCTCACGAAATACCAAGTTTTCCCTTGAATGGCCCCCACTCTTATTTTCCAATGTATGTTTCATCATTATGGATCCAGGTTTATCAGCATCAACTTCTCTCCTCCCCCCCTCCTATCCCTGAAAACTTGGTGTTCTTCACTAAAAACATATTGTGAAATTTTCCTGTATGTGAACTATGTTTTTTCAGGCTTTGCCTTGGTGCATGGTCTGATCATGGTGAAAGAACAGGTGGTTTTTATGCATGCAACCGTTATGAGGCAGCAAAACAAGAGGGAGTGGTAAGCTAATTTTAAGGCTTAAGAAATATTTACACTGGGAATTATATCGTTGTTGCAATGCAAATAATAAGGTATGATGACATATATGCACATATATATTTTGTTGCTTACAGTATGATGACACAGAAAAGCGACGTGAGATGGCAAAAAACTCTCTAGAAAGATACACTCATTATTATGAAAGATGGGCTACAAACCAATCGGTGAGCTTTATCCTCTTGGTCAATATGTTATTTCAAGGGTGGATTTTTGAGATTTTGCTTTGTGAGTGGCACTTCGGTCTTTCTACTTTAAGTAGAAAGACTGGGTTTTTGGTCCTTTATTGAGTGTTGATCTTTGTTGTTACATTAGCTTCACTCGTTTCATGCTATATCTAGTTCTTCCCTTTCTCTCTTATGTTCTAGTTACAGTTGAATACCAATTACATTTGTCGAAAATTCGCATGTCTTCTTCCTCTCGGTGGTGAGAAAGGACAATCCTATGCTCTTTCTATTGAAGGTTTGTGTTATGTGGCACCTGTGACGAACTAACACAAATCGCCCCCCCCATACGGCTGGACAAACTTTACGCTCCAGCCTCTGGCATTCAAACCCAAGGCCTGATGCTTAATGAGGCACCTAGTCCCAATGAATTACCCACTTGCTTAACTAACCCCTTGGGTGTAGACAATATCTTTACTTAATCTTCTGTTGTACACAAGATGGTTCAAATAATCTACATTGTCTTGGATGATTATAATCGTGGATTGCCTAGTATGGTATTGTTTCAATCTGGATAAGAATCTTTTATGTGAGATATTGGTTTTAACGCCTCCTGCTCACTAGTTTTTTATTTGTTATCTTCTGTTTTGCAGTCTAGACAAAAAGCACTGGCAGATCTTCAGCAAATGCAAAGCATACATGTAAGGAATTTTTTATATGGTCCCTCAATGTTTTATCACCTTTAATCAATCAACTATCTACCCCATCCTTCATAGCTGATAATATGGACCTATTTCTCACAAATAACATGCTTACAAGTTCATTATCTGTACAGATTAAATTTCTGTGTTAAATGACCTATTCTGTTTGTGTCGTCCAATCTCATTAATTATACTTTTTAAGAGGTCCATATTTTTTCTTGCTTAGGCCAGTTGAATTTTCTGTTGACATATCTTTCTTAAATGATTGAGTCAACAAACTGGTTCATGGATTTCAAGAGACAAACTCACAACCAAAGGGTTGTAGAGATCCTCTGATACCTTTGGGCCGCAGACTTCTTGGTTGCTCACATATTGAACTTATATATATATAATGTTTTGTCATGCATCTAACCTATTTAAGGGGTGTTTGGGATTGCTTATGTAAAACAACTTATGTTTTTTTTGTAAAAGTGCTTATTAACTTATGTGGTATCAAACTGGAGTTAAATAAAACAGAGTTAAAATTGTAAACTTGTAATAAGCAGTTTTTCATAAGTCAGGAAGAATTAACTTATCAAAAACAGCTTATTACCGGTTTGGCACCGGTATAAGCAGTTTTTTTTCTTTTCTTATCCAAACACTAGAAAACAGCTTATCATCGGTGCCAGACTGAAATAAGTTAAAAAACAGTTTTTATAAGCAATCCCAAACACCCCCTTAGTGCATTACTTGGTAAACCATGGTTGGTACTCTGTCAAAACTAGTTTATCTACAAAGGTTTGACTTGGGTTTTATCATGGTTACTATCTAAATTGCAATGAAATATAATAATAGGAACCAAATCAATTAATAACCATCATTTTTTCTATTGAACCTATGTACGGTTTGTGGGTATCCTTGGAAATAGCTTTCCGAATGGTTGATTATGGTGGAAGTGTTGGGTTAAGGTTATACACTTGTAACCTTGTATGGGGATTTCCTATATGCAAACGGTCACTGATAGGCTGGGTTGCTAGAGAATAAAATTGTGCGCTGACTGGAAGTTTATAGCATATGGGTTTTTAATGCAGATATATGATTGGCTATGTAGACATCGAAGGAAACTTTTTCATGAAATTGCATTATTAGACCTGAATGGTGAAAACCGAAAACAGAAATTTCCGGGTCGGGTTCAGGGACTTCTTATCAGTGACGGTGATCACCGGACCGATGTGTATATCTATATCTATATATCATAAAATAAAAATATTAACATTTAAAAGGCTTTTATCCACTTTACCTCAACACTCCAAATAGGTCTCACGAAAAAGTATACTTTATTTGTCGAATCGTGAAATCATATTGTTAGTTGGATGATATTTGAACTTCTATTTACTTTTATATTATAATCTAAGACATTGCTCGTAATTGGCTTGATTATGTTCGAGACATTTAGACCTGCATGTTTAAAAAAAATTATAATTTTTTTCGGGCCGCTTTTGGTTTCGGGTTCAAGTATAACCAACGGTGAACGGGGATTTTTACCCTTAACGGGTTCCCCAACGGGATCAGCTGAACTGCTGGCCCCAATGGGAATCCCCGACAAGATCCCCCATGGAGATCGAGGCGGTTACAGGGATGGTTTTGGTTATCGGTTTTGGGGATGGGGATACCAATAACCGGACTGAGCCCGGTCCATTGCCATTCCTAAATCATTCATTGTGGGCTAAGAAGATCATCAATATTTATCCTTTTAATCCCCCAAATGCAAAGTACTTGATTTACTTTTGTTCATTGCTACTGAGGATTAATTATAAGCAAAAAATGGAAAAAGAAAAATGCAAATTTGTGGATTCCCCTATTCTATTCTGATCTGATCTAATCAACTGCTCTGGATGTCTTGATGAATATCTAGTTACTTAATAGGGAAGTGTTTTTCTGTAGCTTGAGAAGCTGAGTGACAAGCAGTGCCAACCTGAATCACAGCTTAAATTCATAACAGAGGCCTGGCTACAGGTGATGGCATTTTCTTTTATTTGGTCAACAAGCGATATAATCTGCTTTTGGGGCTTAATCATTTGAGAACTCCAAAATATGTGAAAATCCGTGAGATCCATCCTAAGCCACTCATTTAGATAATTAATGTTATTAATTAAGGAGATAATTATCGTTATTTATTAAATAAAAATTAATGCATTTTTTTAGAAAATTCCATCGATATTTCTTTATTTCTCTCCTCCTCTCTCTCCTATCTTCGTATTAGCATACACACTTTGCACACAAGGTGAATACAATGTAAACGACCTTGATAATTTTTTACTAGCGTGTTCACATTGTGTTCACAAGTGGTATGTTTAGATTTAATTTGATTGATTTAGTTTGTGTTCACAATATGTTCACAAACTATACCAGATCTCATAGATTTAGAGTGTGTTCACAAACTATAATAGTATTTCTAAGAAAGTGTTAATAATGTTAAGAGTTCATATTCAATTATGTGTGTACACGTGTATGTTATGGAAAGAGGGAGAAGAGAGGAGAGATGAGAGAAAAAAAATAAGGGGGAGAGATAGAGGTTTTTAATTTATATTAGATTTTATTTTTTAACTAATTTTTTCGTGGTTTAAATTGAATCTCACGAATTAACAAGTTCTTTTATAAGAAGGCCCCCAATGGCTTTTGTAATATCATTCTACTTATGGATATTATTTCCTTATTTTTGTAGATAGTTGAATGTAGACGGGTACTAAAGTGGACATATGCTTACGGATATTATTTGCCCGAGCATGCGCATGCCAAGAGGCAATTCTTTGAGTACTTGCAAGGTTCTCCACGTCCCACAACTTACGCATGCCAATTTTACCGAATAGGAATTGATTTCTCTGAACTTGTTTCTACCATCTTTCAGGTGAGGCAGAATCTGGGTTGGAACGACTTCATCAATGTGCAGAGAAGGAACTACAAGGTTACCTCAATGTTGAAGGTCCTTCGAAGGACTTCAATGAGTTCCGTATGAAACTAGCTGGGCTGACCAGGTGATGTCAACTAGAAATTTTTTGTGAATATAGTTTTCCCATTTGAAATAGGTAGCTAAAACTTGCTTTTGTGTGGAAGAAAAAGAAAAAGAAAAATTGTAGAGACATTAAAAGACTTGAAAAGAACAATGAACTAAGGGGCTGTTTACCTAAATGCTTACCCGGTAAGCGGTTACCATTAGGAGTCAACACTATAATTTATTTTACCGGGCAAGATTGTAGTACATCAAAATGGTATTGTATGCAGCAATTTACCCGGTAAACACTTACCCGAGTAAGAGTCGTCACCCTTACTTACTGAGTAAGACTCTTCATCTTTATGGTTGCTCTTACCGGGTAAGATTTTTGACCTTTGCCATGTTCATCCGGTAAGAAAAATTACCCGGTAAGCACTTATTGGCTAAGCAAACGGCTCCTAAGAAGAAGGTAGTATAAGTGCAAGGTACAACATAAAAGATAAGAGTAAATTACGTTTTTAGTCCTTATGGTTTGTTGAAAATTACTATTTTTGTCCCCAGACTTTCGAATTTATGGTTTTCATCCCTATGGTTTACAACTTATTGTTGTTTTCTTCCCTATGATAAGACACTTTATTGCTTTTTTCGTCCATATGGTTTACAATTCTTTTTTGTTTTTGTCTCTCGTACTTAAAGGTAAGAGTTAGGGGCCATTTACCAAACGCTTACCGGCAAAAGTCACCATTCCCACTTACCTAATGGGTTAACATTCTCAGCCATCAAAATGGATTAACGGTAAGCCTTTGTAACTGTGGTAAGTGCTTACCGGGTAAGACTCTTGATCCTTGTCTTCCCTCTTACGGGGTAAGGTTCTCGGTACTGTTATGTTCACCCGGTAAGGTAATTGAACCGGTAAGCGCTTACCAAGTTTTAAGTAATCTCAAGGATGAAAATAGCAATGCATTGTAAACCATAGGGATGAAAAAGGTAATTCTAAAACCACGGGGACAAAATTCGCAAGTTGTGACAAATCATGGGAACAGAAAACGTAATTTACTTTAAAAGGTGTATCAAAGGTGCAGAGAGCATCTGTTTTAGAACTCGCAAAGTACTTTTAAGAGAATTCATAAAGAACCGTATATAGAGATGTGATGCACTTAACTGTGCGGAGAACACTAGACAAGACAAATAAGCATGAGAACCTATAGAAGTTTATGTTGTTTGAACCCTTGACCTCCTTGGGAGGCTGGGCTCTAACCAGTAACTCGGGTACCATGGGCCAATGACCTTTTGGTCCGCGATAAAAGCACGAGATGACCACTTGTGGTCATTATAGCAGTTCCAGGATGGGATTGACACTTTCGGCTCGCTGGGTCCTATTCATTAAAAGTTTCAGTATTTTGTTCTGACGGATTTTCTTCTATGACTCCAGCGTAACCCGGAATTACTTTGAGAATCTAGTGAGGGCTCTAGAGAACGGTCTTTCAGATGTTGATGCTCATGGTGGAACCAGCCGAACCGGTGGCTCAAGGAGTTTGGGAGCCGGGAGCAGCAAGGGCAGAACCAGTAGGAGCAAAGGAACAGCAGCTAGATCAAGCGGTTCAAGAAACATAGATGATTCTGGACACTGGTCGTGTGATTATTGTACATTTGCCAATGTCAGATCAGCCACCGTCTGCCAAATGTGCCAGCAACGTCGATGAATTACATGCGACCATTTCTGTCACTCGGGTTTTAATGGTTCGTTAACTTGCACATTCCATGTGGGCAGCGGTTTAAATGGAAGAAAAACCGACAGAAAAAAACTTAGAAGACAGAGCTTGCATTTGATCTGCGATTGCTGTTGTATGTATATAGTTCCATAGTATCTGCTCGTTCAAGTCTGTTAGAAGATCTGATGTATTTTAATGTATAATGCGAGCTCTTTTAGATAACTATGCATTCGATACAACTGAATTTGCAAGCGGATTGTATTTAGACGATGTATTCTTATAGAAAACGACACCCTTTTCGCCATACGATACAGATCATGGAACGTTCGGTGATATGGTGGCACCAAGATTGCTTGATTCAACATCTTTACATCTATAGTATGGATTTTATTCTAAAATCACACGTGATTCAAGCGACTTTGGCTACGACCTGAAGTCACGGGCCACATCACCTGGACACCTGTCTTTATGTTGATTGTTAGTGTAAAATCAAATATGATTTTATGTGTGATATGAAATTTTTTGAGTTCTTTTATTTAGTTATTGTTCTAGTTTGAACCACCACATATGTACTAAATAATGGTAAACATAGTGATGAATGGAAGCATAGATGAGTAACAACTACAGTCTCGGTCAAAAAGCAACATAACCAGTAATTACCGGTCTCTAGTCCAAAATGTGTAACTAATAAATATTGATGATTAAGGCTAGGTTTGCTTTAACCGGTACGGGTTTTTTCTAATACGGTTGACCAATGTGAGTGTCATGTGCTCGCTTTTCAAAGAAATCCAGTTGTAATCAATTAACGGGTGGTAACCGGTCCTTCAAGAAAAACATAATTGATAAGACAAGTTATAACTGGATCTACTGGATCTTAACCGATCAAAATGCAACCGATTCGAATACAGATCCGTTGCTTAACCAGTTCTCGGTCCTTTTTTTTAACCTGGATATCCAACCCGCTATGCGAACAGATTAATCTCAGGTCGACACCTGCTTTGCGGGTAGCCCGGAGTCACCGCATTTGAACCTCTATGGCCACAAGCGGATTTTTATTCCTCCTTGGATTTGAACCTGGGATCTCCAAACAATTTTGACCCTTGGAGCCCAAGCTCAAACCAATCAGACACCACCCTTGTGATTCGGTTCTCGATCCTTTATGTTCACCTTTACATGGAATGGTCAAATTGCAACATTGCTCCTTCGCAACTGGACCTTGGGTTCATTGGTTATAGTTTCAAAGGCTCGAAGTGTTGACATAATAACGTTTAATTATTGATGTGTTTGGATATGCTACAAAACTGATTACTAAATGAAAATTTTGGATTTTTTTTATGCCTAAAATGATCAGATTTTGAGACAAAGAGAGTTAGATTATTGAATATAAATTTGAAACTGAAATATTTTATTCCTAATATATACAAACCAATGATTATTCTAAACAAATATCATAATTAAATACAGGACAAATTGCATGAAAAAGAAACGTACTTTAACTTATGTTTTGCATAACATACTTTCAAAACTTCTATTTTGATACCTAAGATGTAAAGTTTTAAACATTTAAGTATCCAGTTGAAGCAATAACCGGTTACTATGTTGATGTGGCCAGTGATGAGATGAATAGTTGTTATTCAACCCAAGTTCATCTCATAACTCGTCATATCAACATGGTAATCGGTTAATGCTTCAACCGGTTACCCGAGTACTTAAATATTTAAAAATTTACATCTTAGGTACCAAAATAGAAGTTTTTAAAATACGTTACCCAAAATAAGAATCAAGTTAAAGTACATTACTTTTTCATGCAATTTGCCCTTAAATACACATTAGTTGTAAATAGAGTAAATTGCATAAAAAAAGTAACGTACTTTAACTTGATTCATATTTTGTGTAACATGCTTTCAGAACTTCTATTTTACCTAAGATGTAAAGTTTTTCAACATTTAAGTACCCAGGTAACCAACTCAGTAGTATTTGCTGACGTATTTAGTGATATGGATTTCTTTAAATCTAAAATTAGTCTTTAACCGGTTACCCGGGTACTTAAATGTTTAAAACTTTACATCTTAGATACCAAAATGGAAGTTTTAAAAATATGTTACTCAAAATAGAAATCAAGTTTAAGTACGTTACTTTTTCATGCAATTTACCCTTTTTTTTTTTTTTTTTTAACATTCCCAAATATACTTCACCAAACTAATATCAACTTTTATTTAAAAAAAATACCTAAAAATAAAAAAATAATAAAATCAACATAATATAATTTGAAAGAATTTGTTTACGGCTGTGGAATCATGATGTCATGAATATATGCACAATTATTATACTTATATAAAGCAAAATACAAAAGGCAGGAATTAGCCATAAACAAACTTGTTACACATTGGCAGCTTTCAGTGACAGAAAATCTGAGATCTTGTTTGTATAAAAATCTGGTTGTATCGAATTGTTCGGGTTTTGAAGCATCGACAGACTCGTTACCCCTATATTTAACCGACAAAAAGAAGCAATCAAGATACGTATAGATATAGATATAGATATAGCGTATAGAGCTGAAGAACGTTTCAACGTAATGAAAAAAACCAAACTAGACCAATCTGACATGGTAAACGACACTCAAAAGTACTGTCTACGTGAGATGTACGTAAATCTGACCACAAGGGTGGATCTAGATACGGGAATACGGTGGCACAAGTCATCACTTCATGGTTTTCTCGTAATGGAAAAAAAACTACGTTTTTTAAAGGTGCCAAACCTTGTATTTTTTGGAAACTGAAACTAATGACGCAAGCTTGTAATGATGGAGATGGTTAACATTGTTGTGCTTGCACAAAAGGCCCGAGTTCGAGTCTGGCTTTTCTTTTGTGTAAGGGCAAGGAACGAACCAACCGATCTTAAGACTTTTAAGGAAAAATTTCCATATATTTATTTTTCTTATAGTTAAATGGCGCCATCACTTAAAAACTTTTCTGGGTCGGCCTTTGCCTAACCTCTACCTTAAACAGCCGAGTGGTTTTTTTGAAAGGGTGTCCCAGGCTATGCCTAGACTAATCCCGACTTATTATGACTGTAAGATATCAGTACTGATAAACTCAGTGGCCATATATTATGTGGACGCTTGGAATTAAACCTAAGGCAGATGGGATATTCCACCACGTCCCCTGGGCCACATCAATACACCATGACTTGTAAAGACCCTCAGTCTTGTGCTATAGCATGAGCAGACAGGTAAAATGGGGAAAGACTATGACATGGTGAATACGGAAACGAGAAAGTTAAGGAAAAAGGTAGCGAGGAGATGAAGTGAAAACATACCTGAGAGAACAAGGAGAGTTTTGCATCCGCCGTTCTGTCCGAAAAGAATATCAGTATCTAATCTGTCACCAACCATGCATATCTGTGATTTGGTGATGCTGAATCTGTTGTTGAACACCAAGTATTTCGAATCAAGTGGTTAGAAATTCATCAAAAGTTGAGGTCAATTTGTTTCCAAACAAAAGTCGATGTTTGACTTTTAATAGTCAAACTAGTTTTTAACCACGTGGGCATAATCAAATGAGAACCAGTGAGTCATGTGTGATTACACATTATGCAGCAATGCATGTGAAACATACACAAAAAAAATACACATACAGAAGTTTCACATTGTGAAACAATACCTTAAATCCTAGTCATAGTCTTGTCAAACATTACATTGAGATTGGTTCTCATAGGTTTGTAACTTTTTGCGGTTCTCACATGATTAGCCCGTTTTAATGTTAATTATGTTAGGGAAAAGTTGGTAATTGTGTTTGGTTATATATGATGTAGTCAGGGATGGACCCAATTCAGTGCCAGCGTAACGTATTATTCCTCCTTCGAAAGGTAAAGAGAAATTAGTTCGTGAAAGGTGCAACCGTATCGATTTGTTGTGTACCACCATATATAGTTTGAAACTACAATAAGGACACAAGTTTTCTTTGGTAGAGCTCGTTTGCAAGGCTTTTCTTCCACCCCAAACCCAAGTTCAAGTCCAGTTTCTTAGTTTTTAACTTTTAATTTAAGATTTATCTTGTTACTAAAAAAAATTTGCAATAAAAGTTTAAGCTTGAACACATGACATCATATATGAAAAGCAATGAACTAACCAACAGACTAATGATGATTTTATGAAAAATATTCCTATACTTCTTTCTTATAGTCAAATAGTGCCACCGTTTGAAAAAAATTATAAGTCCTGTCCCTGGATGTAGTTCTTCCGTTCCATGAATTTTGTGTAACATTTGATTCAGACTTTAAAGCATCTTATCATCTATAATAACAATACCCTTTCAATAAAAGACTAATAAATAAATCTTATAGACCCAAATCAATATCATCAATTTGTATGTAACGGTGATAACGAGCAAATAGGTGCTTTTATCTGGAAATCTTTCCAAAACATGAACTTTGCAACTTTCAAAGGCATACTAGAAATAGAAATGTTGCAAATTTCATGGGACAAATGGTGTATCAAAATATGAAACATGTTCAAGATTTACTGAACGATTTCCTAAGGTTCAGTGCAAAAAGGATGAAAATTAGTATGAATAAAAAATGCACACACAGGTCATATTGATCATCAAATCAAAATCAAAAGAAACAGCTTACTTGTTTGCCAGGTAGTCCATCATGAATGTTGAAGGTTTCCCGACAACAACTGGTTCCCGTTGAGTAGATCCAACAAGAGCACCGACCATAGAACCACCACCTGAACTGGCTCGTGTTACATTTCCATCCGTCCGAAAATAAGTTCCCATATTTCTATTTTAGCTTGTCCCAAAATAATTGTCGACTTGCAAAAGTAAGTGTCTAATTTCCAATTCTATCATTTAACAATGAGACTGAGATATTCATTTTCCATCTATTATAAAGGGTAAAATTATCATTAGTTCATTAAAAAGTGTAATAATTACATTTTCTTTGTAAGATCCCACATCAGTTGGGGAGGGGAACTAAGGTTGCCTTATAAGAAACCGGGTACCTCCTCTATTAGATGCATTTTAACACCGTGAGTATAGGTGTAGACAAAGCGGACAAATCTGGTACGATTGGCTTATGATGTCACAAATAGTATCAGAGCCAGGAACAGGACTCGTATGCCAACAAGGACGTTGGGCTCCCAAGGGGGGTGGAATATAAGATCCCACATTGGTTGGGGAAGGGAACTAAGGTTGCTTTATAAGGGACTGGTACCTCCTCTATCGGATACGTTTTAGAACCGTGAGTCTAGGTGTAGACAAAGTGGACATTTATTTTGGGACAGAGGAAGTATCTATGATGTGCATTAAATTTGCAAACATCCTGTTGAGTAATTCATTAAGATATATTTGATATTTCTAGCAGACACATATAGGTAGTTGGTTGATCCATCCTATCAAAACTTGTAACAAGAGGTAAATTCTTCAGCCAAGAAAGTTAAGAGTTTTTGTTCTTAACTTTGAGATCTTTGAAGATTCCATTATATGTTAAAAGAGTACAAATTATGAAACATTTTGTACCAGCTCTTTTTTTATTTATAATTAAACTAGAAGAAAGATAATTGGGGGGGGGGGAGGGGAGGTGGTTAAACCTGCCCATTCTTGTGCATCTGTAAGATGAGTAACAGCATCCCTGTTTGTAGCGAGAAAAAGACAGCCAGGATTCTCACGAACACATAGTGTCCCGTACCTGCCAATGAGAAAACAAATTGAATCACAAACTGGAAAGAATTAATGAAGTTTAATGCATACTTTGCATTACTCATTTCAAAGAACTTACTGAACTTTGTAGTAGTTAAAGTAACGGTCAAATCCAACCACAACGGCGCCAACCTAAATTCCAGGAAACAACATTCTTTAGACTTTAGCAACATTCTTTTAATTCTGAAGTTTAACACACGAAAACCTAATCCATTAATCTTATCAGTGCATTAAAGTTGAATTGCCTTTTCATTGAAAAACGGTGTATTTGTTTGCAACCCCTTCCCAGTCCTCTCGTACTAGGGAAAGGTCTTAATGAGCTTCATGGGACTTACAGCTTATTTGGTCAGCTATACATGACTGTTTGGTAGTGGCTTAATGATATGAAAGTGGCTTATTCAGTAAGCTTTTAGGGGGATCTTTATACAGGAAGTCAAGTTTTTTCCAATCCTATTCCTCCGAAATAAAAGGAAACACGCTCATTCCACCTATGAAAAAAACCCTTCCAAACAAAAACTCTCTCAATTTACAAGACAGATTAATCCACACAGACAGCTTTATCCATGTAGGACTTGATAGAAAACCAACCAAACAGCCCCTCAAACTCCCAACCTAGGAGCTATATATCAATGGAGCAAAGCCCACTTAGTAAAACTTATCTAATGCTTATACTTCAGAAAATCAGACCTACATCTTACTGGCTGCTTCTTAACAAAATGCTACATTAAAATGATAGTTTTATAAAAAGAACTACATTTAATTGAGAAAAAAAGAGGTATTACTTTGTAAGTTCTTGTACGAGCATGATACAACAAAATTTATGTGGTGAATCATGTATTATAGGTTGTCATCTTAATAACTAAATGGAGTTGTGGCTGACTTTGAGGCCTCCACCATTAAGGTTGAATGAAAATACAGGCATTCAGTTTTCTTTTCCAAGGCTAGTGCCCACCATCAGAGCGATAAAACTGGGTCAATCGTTATTTAGAATAGGAGATTAGCAGTTGGTATTACTGCTTTTGGAAACAAGTTTAAAAGTTATGATGAAAATTGAAAGATAAGCCGAAAGTGTCACAAGAAAAAATATTAGAAGCATACATCTTTGTCATGCTCCATCATATACCCAGGCTTGAGCTCTATCTTTTTTCCACCATCTTCCTGCAATAGCAAAATATAACTTCGCTTGATACTAGAATAACAAGTGTCCAAAGAAGGATATGGTCACAAGTGAATTTGTAATTTTGCGTGAAGGTCTGACATGTCATGGACCATTAACAAACTACTTATAAAAGTGGAGAAAGATTCAGACAGAACAATGCGAAGAAAAATACCCCTAAAATAAACATCGGTGACTATGACATTGTTCAAATATTTCATACCAAAACACTAACCAGTGACCGAACTGTAAATTGACTTCAAATTAAGAACACTGTTCAGCCATCACACTTAGAATTTATACTAAATATTGCTACTGTAGTAGAAAATTATCATTGTAATGCATACATACCGGACCCCCGAGGTATGAAAAGCCTGCTAGTTCAAGCTCTATCAATATGCCTTCTTCACCAATCACGTAAATCTGGAGAGTTGTCAATTATATCTGTCAAATATATGTTAAGAAAATTACTGCATCAAAATTTTAACAGTTCGCAACTCCAAAAGAGCCCTTGAGAAAAAGGGAGGTTCCAACATATATACAGAAGAACTGGTCCCCCCAACAGGGGCTAGATGGATATAGATTGTCACTGAGTGTCGAGAGAGGGCTAGCCAAGTGTCTGGTCCCTAGAATGGAGACCTTAGCTTTGGTACCATGTGAAAATATGTGGAACCCCCACATCAGTCTCCAAAAGAGCCCTTGAGGAGAAAGGATAGGTTCCAACATGTATACATAAGAAATGGTCCAAGTCTAGCCAATGTGGGACTCCAACAGAACAGATGCTGGTAAGATGTTGTTTAAACAAATTACTACTCGGTATGTCTCACCATTACTTTCCCAGTAGATTTAACACTCATGTCCTTTACTTATTCCATTTTCTTTCATCATCATAAGCCCCTTTCAAGCAACTTACCACATAGTTCTGTTACAAAGCTCGGTTAAAAATCAGGGAAACAGTCTAAATGCCCCACTACATGTGAAAACTTTATTTATAGAATAAGTGGCTAACGAAGGTTCATTTTTATGTTTTCAAATGTGAAATTGCGGTATTAAATTCCATCAAACCTCCCACTTACCCTTTCCTGTTCCCTCAAGAATACTCTAGGCATGCAAGTAATGAGAACATGAGACATATTACCAACAGGTTCGTAAAATGGAGCAGTCAACAGATATGCAAGCAAGGGATCGATCTTGTGAACACATTAACGTATCAAAAAAACTAAAGCATTACTACCCTTCCTGTGACCCATGGGAAGATCTTGATAGATACAAAGATATTCAAAACTATGCAAGTCTAATAGTTATGGCAATTGTGGTCCTTTCCAGTAGGAAAATTATTTCAAGGAAATACTTATGCATACCTTCTTGTCTTTTGGAAAATCAATTGATTGTAGATATGCAGCCGCAGCAAAAGAAGATGCAAAAATTTCCTCCTGAAACCTTCACCTTATGTTAGAAAATTTACAACATGGTATACAAAAATCATTAGCACAGTGTTACACCTCACCTCATTGATACTGAGACCAAGTGACTCAAACTTTTTGCCATATTGTTTCCTAGACTTTGTTGAGTTATTGGTTACGAAAACTAGTCTCTTTCCCTAGAGAAAAAAATTAAAGAATAGAGCATGAATTAGATCTCATTGAAAATCTACACAAAACAATCTGCCTCTTAGAAAACAAGAAAGAAAGGAAGGAAATATATTTGGATCATAATCATCAAAGAACTGGATATTGGGGAATCATCAAATGGAAAACACTAGCAGAAGCAGTAATTACCAAATAAAACATAATTTATACAAACCTTTGACCGGAGCAACTCTAGGGTTTCTGGAACCCCCTCGATTAATGAATCTCCCTTCCAAATGACTCCTGTGTTGTACAAGGTAGCAATAAAAAAAAAGGTCTTCTATAAGAAACCAATATCAATGGTAGACCTCTAAGAGAACTGTTCTGCTACCTCCCATATCCCCTTGATTTCTTTATCCACGTAAAAAAATGACGTAGTGGTGGTTATACTTATATTAGAGCTCTAAGGTTAAAATCCATAAACAAGTAGACAAAATTGAATGTGATTCATGACCATATATATACTCATCATGAGTATCATTTCATCAATGTGCGTTTTCTTGTCTCAACACGTGATAGTGATAGCATTATACTTCAGTATCAGTAGTAATTAGGTCTTATTAAGAACAAAACACCTACTAAATCTAGTGTATCTGTGTCAGGAAAACAAAACTGAATGTAGAACATGAATCCAAAAGGAAGCTAGTCGTAATTTACATCACACTCCTGCAAATTTATCTAGGAACCCCAATCAGACACAGCTCATATCTGAATTAGGTCAAACTAATGCAAACTTATCCTTCTATGAAACGAATTCAATTTTAACTCAATAACTCTTACAAGCCAAACTTCCAGAAGTCAGGTCAGTGAGAAGTACGCCAAAAACTACTAATATCAACCTAAACCGTTCATTTTCATTACTCGTACGTGTATTATACTAAAAAAAACAGAGGAGGTACCATCACAATCAAAGATGAAAGTCTCGACGGAATCAATGAGAGCATCGGCGTTTTCCAGAGGTTGTGCAGCGACGGAAGCGGTGGCGCAGGTAACAACAGAAATCTTCTTCTTATCCATTCTATTACTCCATCCAACAGTAGTGTTGATCTTCTTCTGACGACGGTCGTCGTTGATCAATGAAGAAGAACCAAATGACGTCGGAAGTGAAAGTGAAGATGAAATGCAGTTGAAATTGTTGACGGAATGAGTGAGAAATCTATGAGGTGCGGCGGAGGAGACGGCAGTTGCTCTGCTGCTAACAAGCATGTCTACACTACCTCCGTCGATCGCCGGCGGTTGAATTCAACGGAGTAAGGGTGGTTGTATTTAAGGTTGGGGTGGTGGTGAGGTGGCGGAATGAATGGACGTCAGCAGCTCTGGGTTTTTATCCAGTGATCCAAAAATTTCACGCCAGTCGTTCCAACTTTGTTTTGGTCGATAAGATTCGGGTCCGGATCCATTTTAATGGATATATTTGGTTTTGGTCGTTTCTTGTTAATAAGAGGTCGTTTACCAAATGTTTATCTGGATAAGTTATTATCAAGTCATATTACTTTATTGAGTGAATATGACAGGGATCAAGAATCTTATCCGGTAAAAACAAAGGCAATGACCAAGAATCTTACCCGATAAGTGATGCGACGACTCTTACCACAGTTAGCGCTTACCCGGTAAATTATTACATATAATGTTATTTTGGTGGACTCAAATCTTACTCAGTAAGTAACTGATAGTGTTGAATTTTACCGGTAAGCACTTATCGGGTAAGCATTTAGGTAAACGGCCCCTAAGTACTTCTTCACTGAATAGATAAAATTACTAATTTATCCCTAAGTTGTTTATATATTTTGATTAATTTATGTAATTTATTAAATTATAATAAAATACATCAATAAAGTGAGGTGCGTACGGAACACGTCTATTTGACTTTGTTTTACTTTGTTTTTGTCTATTCCACATAAAGGTTGAGTTTAGTACATGCGTCAGCCACAACTACCTCTTCCACCGTTGTTAACGGCCACCACCACAATCCACCGTCTTCACGTCCTCTACAGGGACGGACGTGGTATGGAGCATACGGTGGCACGTACCACTGTATTATTCCTCCGTCGAAGGGTAAAAAAAAATTAGGTTCGTGAAAGGTGCGACCGTATTAATTTGTTATGTGTCACAGTATGTATTTTGAAACTACAATGAGAACAAGTTTTATTTAGTAGAATTGGTTTGCAAGGTTTTTATTCCACCACAGACCCAAATTTGAATCATGGTAGCATCATTTTCTTAGTCAAATGGTGCCACCATTTGAAAAAAGTTTCGTATTTTTGTTTCTTATAGTCAAACGGTGTCATCATTTGAAATTTTTTCTTTATATTTTACTCTTATAGTCAAATGGTGCCACGGTTTGAAAAAATTCCTGGATCTGTCTCTGGTCCTCTATAACCACTGTCGTTCACTAACCACCACTGCCTCTACCTCTATAACCATTGTCGGCTACCGACCACCACTACTACCGTCAGCCACCACCACCTCTACCATAACCAAAACCACCTCCACCACCACTACTACTACCATTAATTATATCAAAATTTTCATTCAAATTTGATACCATTATATATGTACGTATTCATTTATATGAAAATTGTGTAAAAATATTTATAAATTAAATTCTTTAATAATTTACTTTATTTGTATTAATTATAACTATTATATAATATTTTAAAATCATCAAATAACTTTTGGGGATAACTTGTCTAGTCTTGTCTCGTCCAGTCCTAGTCGTACCAAACACCAGACATCCATTTGTTATGTCCAGTCCAGTTCTACTCTCTTTTCCTGTCAAGTTCTGTTATGTTCAATCATGTCTGCATATCAAACGTTACCTTGACAAAAATATTATATTTTATTTTAACAATCTACTTTCTATAATCATGTTAATTTTAGAGTAAAATGCAAATTTTGGTCTATATGGTTTGCCAGTTACAACGATTGTCATCCCCACAATTTCTAAAATACAAGATGACTTCATTATTTGTAAAAATGTATGGATTTGATCCCTCCCGTTAATAGACGTTAAAGAAAAATCAATGGGTATATAAGTATGGATGGATACCACATCATTCGCCACATCAGCAAGGTAACTGGTTAATGCTTCAACCAGTTACCCGAGTATTTAAATGTTTAAAACTTTACATCTTAGGTACCAACATGAAAGTTTTGAATGTACGTCACCAAAATATGAATCAAGTTAAAGTACATTACTTTTTCATGCAATTTACCATTATTAAAATAAAACAACTGTTGAAATTTAATATAATTTTTCTATAAAAAGTCTATTTAAAAAGTTGTCTCAAAGCAAGAAGTTGACCCAATAATTTCAAATTCAACTTAAAACCATGATGAAAGTTATTAGTAGCCCATAATTTAACACTTATAAATAGCTTACAAAATTTCTATTTTCTATTAATGTGGAATGAGTTGTTACAAACACCCCCCCCCCCCCCCCCCCTTCTTTCTTAGGGACTCATCATGTTCTATAAGATTTGCCACACTATCTTGATGGTACAAGGATCAACTTTGATACTATTTGTAACTCCCCATGNCCCCCCCCCCCCGGTCGAGGACTCATCATAATCAATGAGGTTTGCCCTACCATCTCGATGGTACAAAAATCTGTTCTGATATTATTTGTAACATCTCAAAGCCCAAAACAAGAGTCTAACACAACTTCGAATCCAACTTAAAATCATACAAAAGTTATTAGTAACGTACAACTTGAAGTCTTACAAGAAATCCACAAATCATATTTTCTATGAATGTGAGACGAATTACACCTTGCATTAACTATTAATACAAAATCACATGTGAATTTGCAAATAAGGCGTTGTTTGTTTGCCTTTCAATAGTTTCATTAAGAGACAATCTTTGAATGATTAAGAGGTGAATCTTGTTTGGCAAAAAACCTCTTAATGGTTCTAAAACCCTTTGGGGTGTTTGGTGAATGGTTTAGTGTAGAATGATTAAATGGGCATAATGATTAAGAGGATTTCACGATATAATGAAAAACAAACTAGAATTTTTTGATAACTGTTTACAATGAAATTAGAACTATTAATGGTTAAGGGAAACTCATGGTACAAAATCATTAAGAGGATTTTAAAACCATTAAGATGCATGTTTTTTTTTGCTAAATAAGATTCACCTTTAACTATTCAAATGTTGTCTCTTAATAGAATTATTAAGAGGTAAACAAATAACTCTTAAAAGATTTTATATCATGAGCCTCCCTTAACCATTCAACACCCTAATTTCATTATAAAAAATTATCAAACAATTATATTTCATTTTACATTATATCACGAGAGCATATTAATCATTCAGTATATCATAAGAACATTTTAATCATTCTCAATTTTACGTCAAACCATTCAGCATCTATTAAGGGGGTGTTTGAGATTGCTTATTTTAGGTGTTTTTTTGACTTATTTCAGTTTGGCACCGATGATAAGCTAAATGCTAGTGTTTGGATGAGGAAAAATAAAATTGCTTATACCGGTGTCAAACCAATAATAATCATTTTTTGATAAGTTAATCATTAATATCTTATAAAAAACTGCTTATTACCAGGTCACCATTTTAACTTTGTTTTATTAATGTTTGTTAATTATTAATCTTATTGATATAAATTTTTGTCAAAATATCATGATAAATGATGAAAAATAAATTTTTACATGTTAAAAAATCTAATAAGTTAATAAGCAATCACAAACATTCTCATAAGTCAATAATATAGAAGACTGTTTTTTTGGTCATTTTACATATATAAGCAAAATTTGCCAAACATTAAAAAATAATTTATCAGCTTATTGCTTTTTGGTATCGTTATAAATTAATCCAAACACTTTTTACAAAACTCCGATTTAATATCCCATAAAGAACTTATTTTTATATTATATTATTTGATTATTGTTTATATTTGAAAGTAATCGTATATAAGTTTTGTAAAAATGGCATAACATTTTCATAACCCCCAAAACGATTCATCGTATATCTCCATTTTTTTTCTTTTCTTGACGGTTTGATTGTTGTTGTCTTGAAGGATCATGAAGTTCCCCCCTTTCAATCAACGAAATCGCGATTCGTAATCCATACAAAAAATGGCCGAGATCACCGCAACAACCACCGCCACCACCAACAACAATAGAACCGCCACCGGTTATACTGTTCCAAAATCCGAACCATTATCGGCCGCCTCCATGGCTGCAACTATTGAAGAAGTCGATGAAGATGTGTTTCTATCAAATTCGGAGTTGTTAGCTCGTGAAGAAGTACTTAAACGACGATCTCGAAGATTGAAGAAATTAGCTAGGGTTTACAAGGATCATTACTGGTCTTTGATGGAAGAACTGAAATCGAAGTATAGAGAGTATTATTGGGAGTATGGGAAGAGCCCCTACCAGGAGGATGAATCAGTACCAGAAACGGATGCCGGAAAGAATGGAGATGATTATGGGTTAGGGTTAGAGTTTAGTAGCGATTCGAGTCGGTGTGCTGTTCATGGATGTAAATCGAAGGCCATGGCGTTAACAAAGTTCTGTCATACTCATATACTGTCTGATTCTAAACAGAAACTCTACATGGGTTGCAATTACGTGATCAAAAGGTATATATCTCTTCCTCTCTAGTCTATTTTTTGGGGGGTTTTAGCAGCATTTGATTTTAACTGGGATATGACGTGATCCAGTAAAAGATAGGATAAAGGTATATGTGAGTGATATTGTTAAATATTGATGCCAATTTGCTACATTGGGCTAATGATTGTAAGCATACCCTAACAAGATAGAGCGTTGGTGATTTTAGTGTCATAAAATATTTTGATGTATTTGTGATTTACAAGGAATCGATTAGGTGAGAAAGCAAACATAACGTGAATTAAGAGGTGCAAATGCAAAGTGCACACCGACGAATGTGGTATTTGCCCTCTCACCTTAGATCACCATAGGGCGGGGGTCTTAGGGGCGGCCTCCGAGTTTGCATCAGATGCTTACGAGTGAGAAGTGTACCGAATCAGAGCTTCTGAGCCTTCTGACCGAGAGCTTCTGACTCGGAGCTTCTGAGCCAGTCTCTGATCCGTTTCAATCTTAACAAGCAGTGCAGTTATCTATTGACTGCCTAACTACCCCGTAAACTGTCGATCACTCCTATATATATAAACGGCTAATCTAGTGTATATATACTAGAGTTTGGTGCCTTAAGAATGAGAGGGACATCTTAGATTATCCCAATACGGGTTTTGTGAAACCTAACGCATACAGGGTCAAAATATAGTATTTGGAAAGTGCAATATATACACGATCAAAGAATTATCCAAGTGATCGTAACCTCCGAAACTCTGATTCTCAACAGATAGGTGAGTCTTGGAACGCTAATTACACCAGTTTTAGGTTCTACTACCAAAATATTTAAGGGCCTGTCTAATAGAGAGAGTTGTGTATAATCTACAAGTCCTACAAGATTGAGAACTCCAATTTCTCCCTGGTGTGTGTGTGTGAATGTGCCTTTCTTAGAGAATACTTGTTATGGGGTCCTTAGAAGGAGTTTAGAGATTCAGGGCTCCTATGTGGCCAGCCTTGCTTGACTGAGCCATCTGTGATTTTATGCCCTTTCAGGAATAGATTGCTCAAATTTAGTGCTATATTTGGATTTTTAAGAATGAGGTCTGAGTTCGTAACATCCCACACATGGACTCACGGTTTTAAAACATGCCTTATAGATAGAGGAGTCCCTTATTAGGCAACCTTTATTCCATTTCCCAACCGATGTGGGATCTCACAATCCACCCCCTCAGGGAACCCGGGTCCTCACTCGCACACTAGTCCGGTTCCCGACTCTGATACCATTTCTAACCAGATATTGTCTGCTTTATCCACACATGGACTCACGGTTCTAAAACGCGCATAGGAGGTATCTAGTCCTCTATAAGGCAACCTTTGTTTCCCCACGCAACCTGTGTGGGATATCACAATCAGATCCATAAAAATGTGTCTGATTGCTCCATTGTGCTGTATAAACCCGTTCATACTAAAAAATGGACTCAAAACGTTGGGTCTTTTGATACCCTCATAAATGTATAAAGAAACACATACCACTATTGGGTATTTTGCAAGCAATTTGATTCCCAAGAGGCCAAGATAGCCCTTATGCAAGGAAGCTACATTCTACTTCCTTTTTTTCTCTATAAATTGTGATATTTTGACTTCAAATGTCAAAACAAATGTAATCTCAGTTTCAAGATTGTAGGAAAAAATCAGCAACTACACCAAGAAATACAGGAAGTTTTATAGATATGGAAGGAAATGATTGTTGAGAAACTGGGTATAACTGATTACGGGTAGTTAGTAACTTAGTAGATACTGCACAACCGTTATGACTGATTAACTGCTTGTGGATAAGGTCGAAACGGATTAGAGGCAACTCAGAGTTCCGATTCAGAAGACAACTCAGAAGGTAACTCAGAATCTCTGAGTTATAACCCTTCATAATCAAAAGCTCTTGGTTCAGACTCAGAGGCTTCTGATTCCATACTTGGTCTCCAAATATTTAAGTTTCTGACCAAGTTATTCTAAGGGCATGTTTGTTAGCAGCTTAATGAGACTCGCAGCTTATCCGGTCAGCTATACATGACTGTTTGGTAGTGGTTTAATGATATTGAAAGTGACTTATTCACTAAGCTTCTAGGAGGAGCTTTTTGCAGAAAGCCAAGTTTTTTCCAAATATGCCCCTCCCAATTAAAAACCACGCTCCTTCCCATGCAGACAACTTTATTCATATAGGACTTAATGCAAAACCAACTAAATAGCCCCAACTTAGTTTCACTCGGAATATTCAGAAACTCAAATTTCCTAAGTAATCCTCTTCATAAAATCTGTAGAGGTTCCGAGACCACCGCCAGGGGCGCAGACCCCTTAACGCCCTCCTTATGGCGATCTAAGGTGATAGGACAACATTTGTGAGTGTGCAATCCGCGCCTCCTAGCTCACGTTATCTATGTCTCGTCACCTAGTTGATCCTTATAAATCACAATTACACCAAAATCTTGATGACACTAAAATCACCAACAAGTAATAGAGAATAGAGGAAGTACTAGATAATGAGAAGATGCATTTACGATAAAGTTCGAATATTTACTACCAAATATAACTTAACGGTTAGAATGCAAATACTTTTTGAGTATTTGGTAAGTTTGGAATTTGCAGTGATATTGTTAAATAGGTTATGTTCATGGAAATGTCATCAAATTATGAACTTGTGAACTCCAATCTGTTTATCTTTATGTTCTTTTATCAGCTCACAAGCAGGCCCTATACTTTGTGGGAAACCGATTCTTAAATCCACGGTTCCTTCTCTCTGCGCAACTCATTTCCAAAAGGCGGAAAAACACGTTGCGAGAGCTCTAAAGAAAGCGGGTCTAAATTCAACCTCGACGAATAAGATTGCTCCGAAATTTCATGTCGTGATTGCTGAATATATTCGCCAAATCCAAACCAGAAGAATATCTACTCGGAAGACAATGGCAGAGAATCCCGAAATCAAAGAAGAAGATATCAGCATCTGAGATTACAGTTGTGGTGAACTCGAGTCTTCTGTTATACTTCATTTCCACCTTTTGTTTCTACTTCTCATTCCCGCCCTTCGGGAATCTGAATCAACAAATATACAAGTAAGATTGATGATTTCGTGGGGCTCTGAATTGGATCTTTGCCTTGCTAGACTGAACTTTGTGCATTGAAGGTAACTAATTCTTTCTCTATTTCTCTTTTGCGCACACACTGTCACACGCATGGGAAAAGGTTATCTTTCGTGCCCGTGTAGGGTGATTGATTGGCAAGGTAAAGACCAGGCAGGCTTAAATGAGAACCATAAAAAAAATTCAGAACCTGAGAATCTAATATTTCATATATTATTCATGATGAATAACCTAAAATATGAATGATATTCATCATGAATAGTTGGTTCTCAGGTTCTCAAAACATTTAAGGTTCTCATTTGAACCTGTCTGGCTAAAGACTAATTCATCTGACCATGCATGCTCTTATTTGTCATTGGAGTCATGTTTATTATTCATCATGATTATCATGCATTTCATTATTCATGATATTCATCATGAACAATTTGTTCTTAGGTTCTCAAAATATTTACGATTTTCATTTGAACTTCCCTAACTAAAGACTGAGGGCTTGTTTGTTAGCTGCTTAACAAGCTTATGAGACTCGCAACTTATTCGGTCAACTATACGTGACTGTCTGCTAGTGACTTAATGATGTAGAAAGTGGCTTATTTAGTAACCTTTTAGAGAGAGTTTTATGCAGAAAGTCAATTTTTTGCAAACCTTACCCTCCCATCCCAATTAAAGAACACGCTCCTTTTATCTATGAAAAAACCCTCCAAAACAAAAACTTGCTCAATCTATACAGACATTAATTCACACAGATAATTTTATCCATACAGAACTTAATGGAAACCATCCAAACATCTCTTAAGTAAATTGAACTCTAGAAGGCATTGTGTACACTTGGAGCGGAACTAGACGGTTGAGAGTGAGGTAAGTAGAAGAAAGAATTATGCAAGGTTGTAGGGTTTTAATTTGATGTGGTTAGTTTAGTAATTTACCAATCATGTTCCATCTGCCTGATTTGTTCCTTCCGCTCAGTGTTGTCCTATTATCCATGGGCTAAATGTTGAACTAGACGTGGGACAACCGGGCAAGTTTTATCTTGTCCTATTCTACATACCGAACGCACAGCTGGGTTACACATTCTAACTTTACGTTCATGGGTTTGTCACAAAAACTTTCAAACCAGTTTTTGTTTCACATATGAAACAACACTTGTGAAAATGTATTGTTTATACAATGTTGTTTCATATATGAAACGTTTAGCACTGTCTTTTTCCACACAAAATTGTTCTGAACGTTTCACACATGAAACAACATCCATTTTAACCCCATGTTCATGGGTGTTTGTGTCATGGAAACTTTCAAACCAGTTTTTGTTTCACATATGAAACAAACTCATGTCAAAATGCAGTGTTTATACAGTGTTATTTCATATGTGACACGTTTAGCACTTTTTTTCCACACACAAAACGGTTTTGAATATTTCATACATGAAACAACATACATTTTAACCCCATGTTCATGGGTTTGTGTCGCGGGAACTTTCAAACCAGATTTTGTTTCACATATGAAACAACACGTGTGAAAATACAGTGTTTATACAGTGTCGTTTCATATGTGAATCGTTTAGCACTGTTTCTTTTCCACACACAAAAAACAGTTCTGAACGTTTCACACATGAAGCAACACGATTTAGTCACTGCAGTTTCACACATGTTGTTTCATGCGTGAAAATGCAGTGTTCATAAAATGTTTGTTTCATATATGAAACGTTTAGGACCGTCTTTTTCCCACACGCAAAACAGTTTTGAATGTTTTACACATGAAACAAGACTGTTTAATCACTGTAGTTTCACACATGAAAACTGGTTTGTAAGTGTGTACGAATTATTGGGTTTGTAAATGATTATGTGTCTAAGTATATAATTGACATTGCAAGTATAAGTCATTATTTGTGTTTGTTTTGCAGGATACACGTTCGAATTCATCTATTTGTCCGTTAACAAACTGTCTGTCGTTCTCTTACGAGGAGCTTCTCGTTGTTGCTTCTACAAGAGTTTTCTAGTTGTTTTAGCATCATCTAGAGGATCAAACGACGTTAGTTAAATCATATAATGTCGGTTTTCGTTTTGTTTTAAGTACCGGGTTGCAAATTAGGTTTTTCGAATCTTATCAACCCAAATTCTAGCTTTCATGTGTTTTTTTACATTGCGAAACAATAAAAATATGATGTTGCTTCATGATGTAATTATTTTTAATGCTTATTTCTGTTTCACGTATTGAAACATGTGTTGTTTAACAATGTGAACCACATATGATTAGTGGTTGTCACAGTTATCAAACTTTTATTCAGGTTCATATTAGAACAGTAATAAAATAAGAGAATACGAAACTGGTTGAATCATATGTAATTTTACATTAACATCATGTGTAAGATTACATATGACCGTGACCTGAGGTAGTGGACCATGTCGTTCGCATACCCTTGTGGTAACTGTTGGTGCATGTCACATGTGATTTTGCACGTCATTTGCCCGTTTCATTCTCTTATTTGGTTATTGTTCTCGTTTGAATCTCTCTTTTATATAATATGTATGTATGTATATACATGGTTGGGTTCCGGTGAAAATGGAAGTTATGGTGAAAAGGAATCTTCACACTTGGATTAATCCTAATCAAAGTTCAATACACTGCACCGATCAATTCCCATGATAAGCGTAATTCATGGGATGAAGTGAGACTAAAAGTAATCAAGGGTCAAGATCTCTTCTTATGCTTCTTACCTTAACTCTCATTCTTACACGATTATTCGTATATATATATATATATATATATGTGTGTGTGTGTGTGTGTGTGTGTGTGTAGAGAGAGAGAGAGACAGTTTCATACGAGAACAATAATTAAATAAGAGAATAAAAAACGGTCTAATCATATGTGATTTAGCTCGCGGCCACGTTGCCCGCACATCTTTTCTTGATCGTTAATGTAAAATCACATGTGATTTTGTACATGATTTGATCGTATAAACTCAAATTCGACCACTTTTTAGATAAAAAAAAATTGAAATTACCATCTCTATGATTAAAGAACAAAGTTATTGAAACTTGAATGTGTGTACGGAGTATTTAAATGTTCAACTATGAGTAGCATTTATAAGGTTAAAAGTACGGTTTTTTGGTTACATTTTTTTTAATAAATGTCTACTTTTAATACTGAGTTAGATATCATATCATTCGTCATATCAGCATGATAACCGGTTAATGCTTAAACCGGTTACCTGGATACTTAAATGTTTAAAACTTTACATCTTAAATACAAAAATAGAAGTTTTGAAATTACGTTACCCAAAATATGAATTAAGTTAAAGTACATTACTTTTTCATGCAATTTGACATTTTAAAAAATCTATTTTCCATTATTCCCTTAGTTATATGAAAGAAAAGTTCTCTTTATATTATTAAGGGTAAAATTATCTTTACACATTACTAAAATTCTGTCTTTTCACTGTGAACATTCATTTTGGAACAGATGGAGTAATTACTTCTTTCAAAATTTTGTTTAAACCATAAACAGTGGGAACCGTCGAGCCCAGATCAACCCTATCTTTTGGTAGTCGAGACCGACCTTAAATCAAATAAGGGTCGGGCCTAGCAGAGATCAGGCCCAAACCCGAGTCTTATACACCCTTGCTTACGGTCAGAGGTGATCATTTATGGGTTTGGTCGAATACAGGTAAGACCTAACATTTTATTTTTGTCCAACGAATCTAATATAACAAGCTCAAACGGTTTTGTGAACTTTATAACTTGCCCGTATCGTCCTATGGTCGGGTCGGGGTTGCAAACACGTTAACGGGCCTAATAAAGATTTTACAGTTTTAAAACAATAAAGCTTGGATAAAATCATAAGTTATGTAAAATCATTCAAAATATATAATTTTATCTCAATTTAAAATTCAACCACACACATACTTTTTTTTTATTAACCTAGATATTTCAACCCGCTATGCGAGTCGACTAATCCCAGTGCGACCACTTGTTTTGCGGGTAGCCCGGAGTCTCCGCATTTGAACCTCTGTTGCCACAAGGGGGTGTTTATTCCTCGTTGGATTTGAACCTGAAACCTTCAGACAATTTTGATCTTTGGAGTTAAAGCTCAAACCAATCAGACATCATCCTTATGGTTATAGCCACATACTTAAAAGATCAAGATTTAAGAGCTACTTTTATAACAGATCTAATATGCATATATTTGGGAGGCTGTTGGTACTCAATAGTAGGAGTCTAGTTCAAAACCAACCAAATGAGCTTCTAAAGTTTTTTTGATTTAAAAAAAAGTAATAAAATATTTTTTTTTAAAGTATCTATACTATATTATAAAATATTTGATAAAAACTCTTAAAAACCATTTTTAATGCATGAAGTATTGTATATTGATGTATATTACTTAAAATTCAAGATTACAAATTTACAAGTAAATTATGCATAAATACAACTTATTAAAGCTTCATGTTTGAATTCATGTAACTAACTACGGATAAACATAATCAAATAAATGATAAACATCTCAATTTAAAATATAAGAAATCTAAAATATAATTAGGATAATTATCGAGTTCTAACAAAATAATCAATTATTATTTTTATAAAAAAATTATATTATTAAACCAAATATAAATAACTTCGTTATTGAACTTAAATTAAATTACAATAAAAAAATTTGAATTAGATAGGAATTTTAAATAGTTAATTTGACACTAATATCGGTATATTTTTGTCAAACTTTTATGATATCTTCAAATTTATACTTTATTTAAAAATAAAAACAGCATCGCTTATTCAAAATCACATAAGACCATATTATAATATCGACTGAGATAAATAATAAAATGAAATATTAAAATTAAGATGTATCTCGTTGCATTGCACGAGTACCCTTCTAGTATAATATTTATATACGGCAAATGCAACAAATAAATTCACACACCCTCCTCACCTTTGGTGAGGTTTGAATCCTTGACTTATTAGGAGGTCAAAGACTACGATACTGCTAGGCCAAAAACCCTTTGGTAAAATATTGCTTATATACATATAAGCAGATGGGAAGGATCTATCAGGAATTTTTTTTATCGCTTATAGAAAAAGTCCAGACACGGTTTTTATCGGGCCGAGCAGACCAGGTCTAGCGAATCCTACTACCCGTGAACAACTCTACTTACAATGTCGATTGGAGTTTTTATTGACTTACAAATAAATACCCACAATGAAAAAACACATGGTTTTAGAAATGTGTAATTATTACACTTTTTAATAAACTAAATTCCATTTTTTATAGGGCAAATTGCATGAAAAAAGTAACGTACTTTAAGTTAATTCCTATTATGGGTAACGTACTTTCAAAACTTCTATTATGGGTAACGTACTTTCAAAACTTCTATTTTGATACCTAAGATGTAAAGTTTTGAACATTTAAGTACATGGGTAACCGGTTGAAGCATTAACCGGTTACCATGCTGGTGTAGCGAGTGATGTGGTATCCAACTTAGTATTATTTGTTGAAGCATTAACCGAATACCACATCAGCATGGTAACCGGTTAATGCTTCACCGGTTACCCGAGTACTTAAATGTTTAAAACATTACATCTTAGATATCAAAATGAAAGTTTTGAAAGTATGTTACCCAAACTATGAATCAAGTTAAAATACGTTAATCTTTCATGCAATTTACCCTTATTTATAAACAGAGAAAATTTTCTCCATCTCATAATTAAGGGTAAAAAGGGAAAATATAAATTTACTTCTGAAAGTATACTCTTATTTTGGAACAAACTAACATATTTATGTAGGGTTAGGGTCACGTAAGAAAAAGCTGTTTTCGTGAGACACAATTTTTACACTTGAAACTTCACAACAAAATGTTGTAAAGGTAAAAAAAAAAGCCGAATCTTCACAGCAAAAACACCGTGAAGATTACCTTCACAGTGTTTTGATGTGAATCTTCAAATGTAAACATCGTCTCACGAAAACAGTCTCGTCTCATATGATCTCAAGTATAGATATGTTAAACACTTATTTTAAAGCCAGATAAAATATTAAAGGGAAAATTGCATCAAAATGGAACTAACTTTCACCTTATTCTTATTTTGGGGAATCAACTTCTAAAATCTTCGTTTAAGGGTCTCTATCAAACTTTTTGTTTATTTAAGGGTCTGGTTGACCTGTTGAACAAGTAATTTAATATGACTTGGAAGAAAATTATTTAAACAAATATTATGTGGAAATTATTTTGACAAATCATCATTATAATTAAAACAAATCAAAATGAAGTCCGTTTCACGTCTCCTACCTCGATCGCAATCCTGCCCCTCCCTCTTCCTTTAATCGCCATCGTCCCATAGCATCCTGCCGTTGTAGCTTTCTGCCATCTCCAACAGCCGTTGCCCCTCCCTCTTCCTTCAATCGCCGTTGTCCCATAGCCTCCTGCCGCCATAGCTTTCTGCCATCTCCAACAGCCGTTACCCTCTCCGACATGCTGTCCTCTCCGCATTTGATATTTGATATTTATTTTTTACCGCATCAATTTAATTTTTTCTATTAAAAAAAACGAGATTTGGAAACATCTTCAATTTGATATTTGAATTTTTTTTTTTAATTTAAAAAACGAGATTCGAAAATGAAAAATAGATTTTATTTATAATTAATTTTTGAAGAAAACGAATTTTAGTTAATTTTATATAATTATTTTGTAATTTTAAAATATGACGTGGATTTAAAATAAAAAAAATTAATATGACGTGAAATATCTTAGTTGACAAAAGATCTGGATTATGTCAGCATTAACATGTCAACAGATCAACCAGACCCTTAAATAAACAAAATATTTGACAGAAACCCCTAAATAAAGATTTTAAAAGTTGGTTCCCCAAAATAAAAATAAAGTAAAAGTTGGTTCCATTTTATTGCAATTTTCCCAATATTAAATTACTAAAATTAAAAATATGATGCTCAAAAACCACCTTTTGGACACATGAAATTTCACAAATTTGGTTGAACCAAAATAATGGAAACTAGTTTGGCAAGGTGTCCAAACTACAACCATATGCAACATGGTCTATTTTGTACATGTCCTTTGTATCAATAAAAGGCTACTTTTTCTTTGTGTCATAAATATAGCTTTATATGTATCATATGGGATGTGTCCCATGAGATAAAGACATCATTACAAGAAATCCCATGTGAA